TTGAATTAGTCTTCGCCACTTTGAGATGAAGCGAGAAGTTCATAAGACAGAGCAATATTCAAATCTGATTTATTGTTATAAAACAATATCTTAAATACTACTTACACCTTTTCACACATACATGATATTATTCTTATGAGCAACAGCTCTCTCTCGGAACTCGATACACCTGTTGGTGTTCCTTCAGCAGTTAAAATTTAGAACAACCACGTTAGCCGTATCAGCAGTTGGTAAATGTTTAAATGAAATCTGAACAATAGACAATATTAATATTTCAAATCTAATCCAAATACACTTATTTAACTTAGTGATTCGGTAAATGAAGATTTTTTTATTAAGTTCTGTAACAAAAATGCTCTCCGGTTTTTATAACTCTACTTGTTACAAAGAAGTTTGCAGTTTATTTTTGTTTGTTCGCGCCTATTACAGAAATATCTATCCTGCCCATTTGCAACGTGAACACACTCGCCACAATACTAATGCTAGTATTTTCAGGAATGTTTCTAAACCAAATATTGACCTTGAACCAAAATAGAATACAAACAATTTCATTTAAACTTCTCTATTACTAATCTAGTATGATGAAACATATAAAGTAATAAACAAAAAATTTCTTTAAGATAAATAAACGGGTATAACGTTAGTAACCCAGCGATATATAAATTCGTCTTTGACACTGAAAAACGCTAATATAAATATTTAATTAATTGATAGTAATTATAAAAATATAAACACTGAAATTAAAGAGTTAGTTTCATGTGTAGGGGCGCCCCAAAAACATATCCTTCCTGAATATATGTTTACACTCTGTGCGTAGTACCAACCCCGAGTTTCCCAGTACAAATCACCACTAAGACAGTTGCCTAATTTGTTATTAAAAAGGTTGATTAAAATAATAGTGTACAGCCAGACCCGTTTTAAGACCCTCAAGAACAAATGCACTTATTTATTATATGCATGTATGCAGGCCTAATTACTATTGTAATCAAATTTGTAAGTTTTCATGACTTAAACTGAGTTTCGTCAAATGCAATCGCTTCTAGGTACGAATTAGTTTTAAAACGAAATTCTAAAACAGACTAAAAGCAATTGGTGGCAAAAAATAATGGCCTCGTCGCCGCTACGAGTTATACGCCAGATACATTTCTAATAACATTACAACTAGAATAATATATAGTTAATTAATATGTCGACATCACAGGAGACCGAAGATCTGGCAGCTACCTCGGACAAAGAATTAGTCTAGCGATTTAAAGGGGAACGCTGCCAGTATCTTCGGAACCTTGCCTAAAGGGACTTCTTTTAATAATATATTTTAGTTTATGTTAAGGTTAGTTATTTTTTTTTCAATGTATATTATTTTAGTTTGTATAATTGTATGTTGTATATGTTAATTAGTAATATTGAGTTTTTAGCTGCATAATAATTTAGAAAATGTGTTAAGCTTTTAAATATATTTTTCACACTAAACCAACGAGATTTTGATTACTCTAAACTGAGTACATGTCGGATTGTTATTCCCTTCCTTTCGGGTTTTATAATTATTTCCAAATAGGTTAAATTTGAATATCTAAGATATATACTATCAACAATAATATCAAGTGTTATAAAAATTGCCAATATACAAAATACATTCTCATATTGATGCAATTTAAAAAATTAAATTGATCCATTGTGTGCACGATAACAATTTATTAAAGTTCAGTTATTTCCCTTATAAATATCTAATCTGCGGTCTGAGTGGCCTGGTTTTTTACCGGACTTTTTATTGCTTTTACAAAATTTTACGAACGATAAACTGAAGCTAGATTTGGCGAGAAATGTTGATAGTGGATTATTTTAAAACGATACAGGTGATTTAAAAATGATTCTAGTATAAGTTTTTAATTGAAATATTGTGTTATAATGTATAGATTAACTTAAAAACTATTACTTAAAGATTATTGTATATGTTTTAATTGTTATTTAACAGTTTTAGAACGATTTAGAATAATTTACATATAGCAAACGATATTTAACTAACGAACTAATCTTAGAGAAGTTATTTCAAAGTTCTAGAACCTAGATTAAAAGAAATAAAACCTTAAAAAACTTTTAAAAGTACATATAATTAACAACATACCTATAAAATAACAATAATAAAAATCTATATCTGTGTCTGTAAAAATCTTAAAACTTCAATGAAAATTAATGGAATAATTATGTATTTACAAAACATCAAAAAGACTCTTCTAGCATTTACTTATGTCTGTGAACGAGGGTCTAAGAAATTATTACTATTCATTAGTCACATAATGCCTGTTGTCGATGTCTATGTCGATGCCATCGATGCGACCTACCTGCACTTATGTAAAAAAAAATGTACATATTGTTAGAAACTAATATTTTTATTTTATATAGTTTATTTTCAAATAATTTCATAACACGATGAGTATGTACAACTTACTCTAAATTTTCTCGCTAAGTGAATGTAATTCTTTGAGAAATAAAGTATATTTGAACCGAACCTTCTACGCATACACAATATCGTAGAATCGCTACAAAAGCCTCGTACAGAATGTGTTACGGAAGCGCGTCATGCTACGGCGTAGACCACCGCAGCCTTCGAGCGGTTTAAGTTATTATTTACCTGCAGGTTCTAGGAGCAATTAATATACAGTGTACACTCTTTATAACGATAGCATTTTTTTTCGTTATAGGAATAGAAGAGAAAAAATAACCAAATTTAACCAATTACGTTAACACATTACGTTTTTCTTTTACTGGCCATCTTGACAGTTTCAAAGTTTGTTTACGACTGGTGATACGACTGGATGATAGTCCACGGTAGGTGACAATGGTGCGTTTAGTAACTGAGTCCATAATCTCCTACAGGCAAACTAAGAATATTGGCACACGTGTTAATTCAATTAACAATAACAAAGGCGAGACGGCTGTTCATGACCTCAGGTGTCTTTCATAGAAACTTCGGCACCTCAAAAGGTTCGTTTTGTAAGCTGATTATATAAACAATAACACAAGTATGTTGTTGATGTCTAAATATGAAAATATTTCTTCGTAATAGAGAGTGGTGGTTGCGTTATAAAGGTTAAAACATGTATGGGTTTTGGGTTAAACCAAGCAAATTTAATAATTTTTATGTTATAGAGAGTGTTTCGTTAAACTAAACTGAGATTAGAATATGAAAGAAAAAGTTGTTTTATTTTGTGTCGTACAGAGGTAGAAAGTTCCATTATGTCTCTTCACAGACACAGTTTTGGCACCATGGGCGAATTTTAATTAAAATAAATATATTTTTTGTAACTTAGAGTATTTGTTGTAAAAATAACACGATCTAAAATTGCACATCGTACAAATTAATTATTTGTGAAATTTATTTTGTTTTGATTATAAACAATAATTAATGCAAAATGTTGATAGATATTTTATATACAACAAACGAATTAAGTTACTAATTAGGGCTATTAATTAAAGTCTTTTTAACAAACTATTGGAATCAATTGTGTTACATGAAAAATAAAGATGAGAAAATTCAAGAAACCTACTTTTACTATATTGTTGAAAGACAAATTTCTTCGTGAAATTAGTAATTATTTATTTATGTAAAGAGACCATGAGCGTGGCGATGGCGTCAATCTTTTTTATATATTTCTGATAAAATTATATATCTAATCATAATATTAACAATGTAAATGCTTTAACTATAAAAAAAAATCAAATTTATTTTTTGTATATATAATAAAAACACTATTTGAAATCCCTTTACCAACGCTGTATACTAATGTAAAATGATTAATTTTTGAAATTAAGCGTTACAATGCGTTCTCTAGTCGCTCTCTTTTCTCTTCGCAAATATACATATGTATGTAGTCTTACTTAGTGCTAAGTCTCGAATATCACGTCCCCATTCTTAAAACGCCGGCAACCTACTTGTGATCCTTCTGGCAATGTGTGTTTTTGGCATCACCTAACATTGAGCCTGCTGTTACATAAAAAGAAAAAAATATTCCTAGAATCGGGCGTATTAAGGGAACGTATTTTTAGAGAATATCAAATCTGACGTTTACGAAACTTTGCAACAACTGCGCTCTGGAGGCGTGTTCTTGAACATGATTACTTTTACAAGTTACAAACATAAACTGCCATAGATAACTATATAATATGCGGTATTTCGTTCTTCGTGCAGTGTTGCCTTAGTGGCTCCAGCGTGCGACTGTCATCACTGAGATCGTAGATTCGGTCCCCGGCTGTGCAACAATGGACTTTCTATGTGCGAATTTTGAATTCGCTCGGATGGTGAACGATCCTAATTGAGTACTGATTTTTTAATAATAACTCGTAATTCATATTTTATAATCGAATCTTTTACTCACGGCTTTGCAGAACCCAGTCTTAGTTTAAAATAACAGTAATTGCAATGCAAATTGTATTTGCTTAGAACGCACAATTAGATTTGATTCGCTTATCAGATGCCCGTTGGCACTTTTTTAATTAAATTTTGTATAATTGATTATTTATAAAAGTACTATTTATAGTTTTGACATCTCACTCATTAATAAATACTTATAATTAATAGCCGGTAGACAGTACCGCTGACCCCACAGCTGGTGCTTTCCTTGCTTAACGAATAATTATCGCAATCGAAATCGCTACGTGCCCTGCCCATCTCCATTTAAGTTGTAGGGTTTGTTGCTCAGCATCATTTATTTTTATTTTTCTGCGGATACATTCACTTTTCTGTTAGATGCGTACTTTAATTCTAAGAATACGCAGTACGCACGCTGGCAGGAACGTATTTTGGCTTTCGTTTTGTTTGGAAAATCCACTTTTGTGGTCCATATGTAGGGCAAGGTAGCAAGCTCGAATCCACCATTCTTTAGTTAAAGTGGTAGCTTACCTTTGACGATTTTTAAACTTATATTATAGTATAAATATGTACCAATTTGTGCACGTATCGATTGACTAAATTTAGGTATGGTCCAGCTTACAGTTATTATAAAATGAGCGTAGGTGTGACAAACCTCGTGTGTTTGAACTTGATCGTGAATATTTTTCGAAAAATACAAACATCAAAGGTTTGAAGTTGTCAAAGTTGAAAGCGTTTATTTGTAGAACATGCTCTACGGGATTCAAGGAAAATAACACGAACCGATGCATTTTTTGCAATGCGCTTTTTTTAATATATAGATCGACTTGGCAATTTATATATTAAAAAAATTGTCAGAGAGGTAGACCTTGTGCAGGCAGGCAGGCAGGCATAGGCAGCTTATGACTTTACTAAAATTTCTCATTGGTGTTAAGAAGAAGAAAATAAAGAATGAAAAATAGATATTTAATTTATTTTTTCTTGTTGTTACAGCTAAACGACGAAACAAGGACGCGAAACCATCAAAAAAAAACCATCCGATAAAGGAAGATTCTGTTGAATTCATTTTAGACTCCGATGAAGCTCAAAACAACAACACAAAACCTGAACCTTCACTAACCTTGCAATATCGACGGCAACATCTTACGCAGATAACTTCCCATGATAATTCACCAGGTATAAGTGACTTACAGCAGCAAAGCCTTCTGCAATCTCAGTCACAACAATCACAACGGCTACAACAGCAACCTCAATCACGAGAGGAAAATCCACAAAACTCATTTAAAGATCAATCATTAAACAAACAACAACTTTTTGATCTAGAACAGTCAAAACCACAAGAACCACCTCAACAAAACCAGACAGAAACACAATTGCATCAGCCACAGCATTTAAAAAAGCAAGAACTAGCTCGTCAAAAGCTCAAACAGCCCTTACAACGGCAACAACAAAATCCTGAACTGTTTAGAAGAACATCCGACTGGGACGAAATAAGAACACCAGAGGGACGTATTATTCCAACATTCCAGGGTGAACGAAGACCACTACAGCCTAAAGCAAAAGAGCTGCGACTGCTACCACATCCAGACTTCTATATATCTCCCTCACTACCAGAATATCATACATTGTCAGAAAGGCAGCTCGCAACAAGTAACTTAGTTTTATTTGAAACAATATCCAAAAGACAACCCTCTGCTCCTCAGCTTGAGCAAAGAACTGCAAGGCGACACTCTATAATTGAAACTCCAAGAGGTCCCCAAAGGGCTTCACAAATACAATACCAAAACATGGAGAGACGAATGTCACAAATCTCTCAAAAATATCAACCACAAAGAGACCATAACCTTTCTCTTCCAAATACTCCACAAAGAGGTGTCACTGTAAGAGAAAATAAAACTACACAAAATACGCCTCTTAGAATTCCTCAAAATGATCAACGTCGTCCTTCTCAAGAATATCGCTTAAACCAAGGACAAAATCTTGAACCACCTCAGAGAGAGATATGGCAACAACCCAGTACATCTCAGTTTTCTGGACCTTTGCAAGTTCAACCACGTAATTTTGCATCTTCATCACAGTGTATTCCTGGGCTTTCCCAAAATCAATCACAAAATTATTCAAGTCCAATACACGGCGTAGTTTCTCAAGCTCCAATTCAAAACTATTTGGCTGCTTCACAATGTGTTGTGGGGGCCTCACAATATTACGGTAATTCTTCACATTCTGTAACCGGTCCATCTCATGGCATATCGCACTATCATCATGCGAGTTCGACACAAGCTATCTCTGGGCCAACTCCAGGTCCATCACAATACCATGGAAGTTCAACACAATCCATTTCTGGGCCAACTCCAGGCCCATCACAATATTATAAAAGTTCAACGCAATCTATTTCTGGGCCAACTCCGGGCCCATCACAATATTATAAAAGTTCAACACAATCTATTTCTGGGCCAACTCCAGGCCCATCACAATATCATAAAAGTTCAACACAATCTATTTCTGGGCCAACTCCAGGAGTATCTCAATACCATGCTAATTCAGCTCAAAGTGTTGTAGGCGAAGCAAAGTATCGCGGAACTTTGATCCAGAGCGGATCAGGATATGATCAAAGCCCTCTTCAATATAACCGAAATCCACAGAGTGTTCCGGCTCCAACTCATGGGCAGAAATATCGCGCAAGCACATCACAAAGTGTCGCCGGCCTTAACCGTGGACAATCAAACTACCAAGGACATTCATCCCTAACTATATCAGTTCCTACTCAAGGTCATGTACAATGCCCTAGTAATACTGGCCAAGCAATTACCCATACTGTATCAGGAACTACTCAAAGTCAGTCACACTACCACGCAAGTGCAAAGAAATGTGCTTCGGATTCCTCTCAAAGCTCAAATGTCTTATCTCAAGACTCAAGTCAATGTAAAGCAAGTTCAACGAAAGGCAATTTAAACTCATCTGACGTCTCAGTAAAACATATTGTTGGCCCTTCACATGGGGTTACAGAAACATCACAGAACCAAGTACAAAATGTTACCCCGGATCGTAATACACCTGGGCCTTCACAAAATAATGATAATTCATCACAACGTGATACTAATTCTACACAAAGTATCACTCAAAATAATTCAAGTTCTTCAAAGGGTGCCATACCCAAAAACTATCGGGGACAAAAGAATGACGTCTCCAATAAAGGTATAACTCAATCCACGGCTTCACTATCTATCAATGTTGCTGGTTCATCAGAAAAAACAAAAGAGACTTCTCGAAACGCTGCTAGTTCATCAGAAAAAACAAAAGAGACTTCTCAAAACGCTGCTAGTTCATCAGAAAAAACAAAAGAGACTTCTCAAAACGCTGCTAGTTCATCAGAAAAAACAAAAGAGACTTCTCAAAACGCTGCTAGTTCATCAGAAAAAACAAAAGAGACTTCTCAAAACGCTGCTAGTTCATCAGAAAAAACAAACGAGACTTCTCAAAACGCTGCTGGTCCATCAAATAAAGTTGTAGAAGCACTAAAGCCTAAGCCAAGCCCACCAACAAAAGTGACAGGGCCTTCAAAGAGTGCATCCACCTCTGCAAAAGCTAAAGGGGCCCAAAACGCAACTACGACAGGTCCACAACCACTTATGTCATCATACTCACAACTTGTGTCCACGTTGTCAAAAAATAAAGAGCTTCCAATGTTTCAACCATTTCCACCATTAGAAGTCAATGACACCCCGGTTGAAACCCCAAAAGAAATGCCGAAATCGTCGGGACCATTTGCTGTTCTAGCAAATACTATTCCCCATGCCGCTACAATTTTTGCTAAGATGAAAAATACTATACTTGGTAGCAGCAATGAAAACATGAACTCCCAACCACTGGAATACAACCCGATAATGCAGAAATTCGAAGTGCAAGAGGAAGTGTGCAACGCTGGCCCGGGACAGGTTTGGCGCGTACATGACGCAATCCGCAAAGTAGATGCTCTGGTAAGTTTATTTTATTATTATAATATTACCTCTAAGCTATTGGCCGTGGCTTCACTTTCTAGGATATGAATAAAAACTTAGTTCTGTTTCAAATAGGTAAAATATATACCCCCTTAAAAGTTATTGAGGCTAATAAACTAAAAGCTCTTACTAAATATTATTACATTGTGATGAAAATATACCGATTTATGTTTTAAGAATAAGGGCTTGAGACTTGAGTGTGCAATAGTATTATTAATAATTGTCTATATCCTGTTAAATATACATTATTCCATCGATGTTAATAAATATTAAATATCTACGATAAATTGACAGCGCGAATGTAGTCGGTGGATCCTTGTAATTACAAATTTTTATACAGCTGCATTAAAAATAAACATCTATTAATACATTTTTTTATGATCGATTCTATTAAGTATTACGGTTACATACGCATACCATTACAATAATTAAAAAATATGGTTTTTGATGACTTTCCATTCTTATTTGTTGCGTATTATTAACGGTTTTTCCATAAAAAAAGGAAAAATGTTTTCTAGCTTATTTTTTTTTAAGAACCATAATACCACATTGTATAAAACCTGTGAAGATTTATGAAGATACGTTCTTGTTACACATATTATATTTTCCAACGAAAAATATGTAAAAAAAAGTCATGTATTATTGAAATGTACCTATAACAAATTAAATAGGATTCTCGTAAATAATTAAACGAGCGCCCAGTGGACGAAGTTCGGCTATAATTCTATGAATTTTGCAAGTTTCTCGCTTCTGTTTCAATATATAAAGCTCAGATCAGTACATCTCTTATAAAGTAGATATATTTAAAAATAATGATTAAAAGCCAAATACGGCAAGGCAGTGTTGTCTGAGCAGTCTAAGGCTATCAAGTTTAAAAAGGGAAAGTTGTTTTCATTAAAGGTCCGATTTTTTATGATTAATTTAAAAATTGATCACTTCACAAGAGCCAGATAGAAGTTATTCAAAGTTGCTATTCGCCTTAAACTTTGAGTTTAGAAAATTGTTTTCCAAAAGTTGTTACGTTCCATTTTCTTAGATTAGAAAATTACCTTCAAGAATTGATTACTTAGACTTAGCTTTAGATCGAGAAAAACATAACGAACATTACTCGAAACGACACGTAAGACACAACAGGCTGATCGTTAACTTTTCTATTAAATAAACATGACAGAAGTTACATGTGCTGTCTGTAGCCAAGACTTTTACAAGCCACTTTATTTTGTTTTTTTTTCTCGTTCGGACTGCCTGTTGCCCCTACGTATTTATATTATAAGTCTCTTTGCGTATAAAGCGGTTATAAATAAACACTTTAATGGAACTAATCATCGAAAGAGTCGTTCCTTATCAAATTATACCAACATAAATAGTACCATTTGCGTCGTATTCGTCTTTATAATCATCTTAAGAATCTGATTGCGGAGTTATATTAATGTCTTTAAATAGTAATTGTATATTGACAAATACACAACAATTTATATTTAAGTTTCTCAGCATGAAATCATATTTGTATATGTTCAAGATGAAAACGAGAGTTTTTGTCGCGTGTTAAATAGGAAATGCAAATACTCGTATATTTATTTTGACATACTTTAGAAAAAAAGCCAGTGGTGCTACAAACTTTAAGGTCTTAACTTCAGATTTTTGTATATTTTTAGTAATCAATCGTTTATACAATCGAAGATGTTTTCTAGTCCCACATTGCCGAACAAACGTTGGCATAAACTCTCCAATTAATAGGTTATGTCGCTACCATAATGATATTGCACAGAGTTTTGACATGTTTCATTGTTCTCTGGCCTCAGCTAAGAGTAGAATTATGACATAGTACCGATAATTTCTTTTCTTGGTTCAAATAGTTTAATTCTTTTATAGATTTTAGTTTTAATTTTATGGTTGTTTGTATGACCACTGTTGCACGCCTCATTAGCGGAGCGGAGGCAGTGCTCTACTCTCGACATGTCAAAAAACCCAGTCTATCGAAACTTGAATGACTTTTTTCTTACTAATATAACACTTACAGGATAATATGAGTGCACTAAAATTGAGTTAAATAATCTATCAAGCACATATGGTATTTTTATGAACAATTATTTTGTTTAACATAGTAAATAATAACATTAAAATCAATCATTCTTGGACGTCCGTCAGTCTGTGTTTATGGATCCATGTATGTGGCAGAGAAATTGGTCGAAAAATTTATCGTACCAGAATACTTTTTTTCTTATTATATAAAGTTATACCCTGGGCTGATTCCTAGTTAATATTAGCGTTCTAAGTACTGTCGTTTAATTATAATTTGTAAAATACTAAAATACGACTGTGTATTTGTATATCTATATATACATTTATTTTAGTATATATTTTTTTCCTCACCTTAGAGTTATGGCGCCACTATATATTTTTTTATTATATTATTGTTTTTTTTCAATCACTCATTTTCATTTATTTTTATTTTTTTTGTTATTTTGTTTTAAAATACTTGAGTTTTTGTTTTAGATTTAAAAAAAAAATGTGAATGACCGCTATGAGGCGTGCACTTTTGGATTTTCCAAACTTTTAATTGTATTTACTTGATTTCGCTGGTCATGTCCACATGTTATAGGGACGGCATCGCTTTTTATATTTTTGTATATATGACAATTAACATCATGTGTTTGTCCTAATTTTGTGGTCCAAATAAAAAAAAAATCATTACAGATTTCCCTTACAAGGTTTCCTTAACAAAGGTTCTAAAGGGATGCCTCATTCTCGTAATTCTCGTGATTTGAATAGATGATACAAAACATTAACAAAAGTAGTTCTGCAATAAAATATATAGTTCCGTACTCGCCATCTCATTAAGTGTACTATTAAGATTGGTAAGCCTGTAACGATTTCACCGTGATAAAACTAGCTGTCTATATCCATAATCAGTTGTGAATATAAAGCATTTGATAAACGCAATAAATTCACCAAAGCAAAAAACATATTTTAGTTAAAGTTAAAATATAATTTATAAGGAAGGTAAGCATAGATTATCACACTTGCTAAACTCACTAGTAAATTAATATTTCTTGGAAAATCGCTAGACTTACATAGCCACTTTTCAGTCAAATCATTTTTTTCTTTATTAAAAAAAAGGCTGGAGTGATTTTTTAATTACTTTGATTTTATGAACTCTCCATTGCCACCGCTACGTAACTTTATAGTTTTCACGCCTTTAAAATAATGGTCTAAGATCCCGCTATACAACGACCTTCACCGAGATGCTTATTTAATGAAACTTATTTTATATATAATTTAATATGTCAATAAATATAATCCATATGGGTTGCCTAGCAAATTTCAGTCCAAAGTATGTTTAATTAATTTAAAAAAAAAAATATTTTTTTAAACATTTCACCGGTATGATTATTAGATAAATTCTATACCAATCGAACGTATGAAGCCCATAGAATATGCAAACGTTAGGTTGTTTTTAATCAATTAATTATTTATGTGTATATTTTTTATGTGACAATAAAGTATATATACATCTTTAGTATAAAAGAAGGTTATAGTGATACATATATAATACTTACCCTGATTAAAAATATTGATTGAAAAAAGTTCAAAAAATTTACAACATGCAAATTATAAAAAAAAATTTTTTTTTTTAATATTAATTAAACATACTCTGGACTGAAATTTGCTAGGCAACCCATATGGATTATATTTATTGACATATTAAATTAAATATAAAATAAGTTTCATTAAATAAGCATCTCGGTGAAGGTCGTTGTATAGCGGGATCTTATACTATAAGGCTTTCATTCATATAGATAGACCCAAAATTTTATAAATAACATACATTTCAAACGCATTACATATAATTAATCAGAAAACTTTTTCTTACTTCTGTAATCGTACTACTCGTGAGGGTCGTGATTATTAGTAATTTAAAAAGCATGTGTATAAAACATTAAATTAAGTGTATGCAACGGGAAGAAAATTATAACTAAAAAAAGGAGCACCCCGCATTGGAACACTGCAAAAAGACAAAACCAAATACCAAGCGTCTTGTCTTTGTTAAAATTCCAAACATCAAAATTGGTAAAAACGGAGACGATTGAGACTGGTGTTTTAACTTGTTAATGTCCGGGATTTCATATCAGTCGCAAATCATCACGCTTAGAAGCCTGCATCTATTCATTTTCTTACAGAGTTAATTAGCTACTGCGCTAAACCCACACTCGCCAAATAGTTCGCAAGAAACGTAACGTCGCTGTGATGTTTTTATTTTATTTTATCAAATTCAACCACCTTGCTATTGTAATTTAATGTTATTAAATATCATTAAAATGTATTTCGAATAAGCAATTTCATTTTTGGACGCAATTATTTTCCGCTCAGTTCATCGTCTCTTTTCAAAGAAGACTCGTACTGAGTCAAATAGAATCATTAAAGCGATTCAGACAAACACATTTCGAGCTATTTATACAGAGCAGCAGCTTGTGAGCAACAAGGAATTATAGTCTTCATCATTTTCATTGCAAAGTTGCCTATTTAATTAATCAATTTAATGAATTGCTTCATTGTCGACTTCTCTAATAACGTAATGGAACGATGCATTCAGGTGTTTATTAAGAGTTTTTGCAACCAAGTGTCGACGATGAACAACATAATTTTCAGCGATTATATTTCATACTCCTTATTGCACCATGACACCGCGTCATTGCAGCATCATCAGCAACTGACCAATATTTCGAATAAGAATCTCTTTCTCATGAAACTGCATGGTAATTAAATATGGTTCTCTATTTGTTTCCAAATTTGACAATAATTACTCTCAACAACTGTTTTCTTCTTTTATGAATCGGACGTAAGCCAAGCGAAGTGCTTTGTTATTTACATATTATGTAGTTGAAACGAATTCCATCGTATATTCTTTGCTCTGTATTATTTTGCAATTGCATTTTTGTGATGATTTATCTCTTTGACTGCCCGCTTAATTAAATCCTCATCAATTGCGTGTAGTTTTCCTCTTATAACGAAATAACGTTTTTCTTGTTTTGCAGACGATGCAAAAAGTTTAATATAGTTGGCTTTTTAAATGCTTATTTTCAAGACCTTGAAAATGAGATAAAATTATCCTTTTTATCAGCACGTATTTATTCAACTGCTCTTGCTGCCTCGGCTTCATAGGTTTAATTGAAAATGTTTATCAAATTAAATGCTTTAGTTACGAGGTGTTTCAGATATCCATATTTCAAATACTCAATGTATACAACATGTTTGTAAGATACATTTTTTCTTAGTTTCATACATTTTGTAATTCACAATTTCATTACATCAAGTTTACAACCAATTTATAGAGAGACATTTGACTTCATTGTTTACCAACTTGCACCGAGTTGTAGTATTAAAATTTAGTTATGCTTTAAAAATAAGATAAATATCTTAAACTATCAGTATGAAGTTGCCCACGGAAGATGCTACGGCATTGGACATAATTTAAAAACGACATTCGAATAATAATATAATTTATGTTACACTTAATGTAAGAGAATAATAATAAATATTTATTTATTTAATTTTTCAAATGTAAGCTGAACTTTATTGACTATAATGACTCCTTTTCCAATCTTTGATTATTTAATTGTAATTAATTATTTGCATGCAATCAAAAACCATTTTTAATAATGCCAAAGAAGTATAACTTCTTACGCGCGTACATAAGTACACGCACCCTTTTTTTATAATACTTATTACATCTAGTCGCGGCGCGGCATACCTAATGGCGAGACCGCCATCTTACGTCTTTGGACCCGCTACTTAAAAGCCCCAGCGCACACTAGGGGGGGCCCCGGTGGGAAACTATGATGTAATTAATAACAATATCGTTTAAGATGCTTGTCTTTTATTATATGCTGTTTTATTTGGTCAATAGGGAAATAGGCATATGGGAGGAAAAAGAAGTAGTTTTTAAAAAAATAATATATTTAATTAATCAAAGTATGTACCTACTACATCCTATACACTTTTGCCATCTTATGGATAGTTTATTGATCCCTTTACTAAAAAACACGATTCTGACGGGAGGGAACCAATAAAAATTTTGAAGGAGGTTGTACTGCCTCATCAGAGTTGAATTTTTTGCCTTGCTAGAAGTTATCCAAATATCGAACAACATGGAAATCTGTT